ATCAATGATTCTTTCTCATCATTGATGTTTCTATCTCTCTCTCCCCCTCTCTCTTCCTCTCTGATATCAATAAAAATTAAAAATATATATATTAACAAACATTCACTGTATTAGTGTATAGCATTGTTAACTATAATTAGCAATACTGCATTGTATACTTGAAATTTGCTAATGGGTATATCTTAAGTGTTTACACACAAAAAAGAAAAAATAATAACTATGTGAGGTGATGGATATATTAATTTTCTTGATTGTGGTGATTATTTCACAATGTATATGCATATCAAAATATAAAGTTGTACATTCTGAATACAATTTGTATTTATAAGTTATGCCTCTAGAGCTTGGGAAAAAATCACTGTAATGATTCTTTTCATTGGATTTGTCTCATAATAAATGATTGCATATTGCTTTGGTGACTATTTGTAACTGTGCTTAATGTTCTTAACTTAGTTTCTGCACTTTATAATTATTACAAAATAATTATAATGTATTCTGTTATTTTTCTCTTTAATGTTAGAACATTATCATTAGGAGGAAATTTTTATGTTTAAATCATTGTATTAATGAGTACTTGACCTTCTTTGCTATTTTATCCCACCAACTCACCATTTCACCATCCAGGGCCAGTTAGCATGAAATGAAACAAAAATGTCATCTTTGTGAATGATTTCGTTTGGAAAGTCAAAATGGAAAAAAAATTCTCGTTTGCGTTTCCCATGGTAGTCTCTGTTTTTCGTTTCTCCATCTTATTCCATGGCTCCCTTTTATTGTTATATTTTTCAGGGCAAAACTTGCTTCCTGTTGTGATGCTGTGCAAAACTTCATTGTTTCTCAAAATAACACTCCAGTCGGGACTAACATGAGTTACGAGGTGGAAAGAAAAAATGCAATCCTAATTAGAAAGAGCATTTTTAATATGTTTCCAGTGGTGAGTAAAGATTTGTTATGGTTTATTTGTGTCATCATTCCAGGTGAATTTTCTCTCACTTCAAGTTATAATTTATGATAATGGAGGAGTTAATGAATTAAAATGCCGTACTCTGTTGTATAAGATGTGCATAGTAGTCCACTTTAAAAGGCAATTTTGAATGCATGCTCGTTCTGCAGGGGATGGAATTTATATCTTAAAAGATAAGCATTCCCACTTCTTGAGTCTTGATGACTCATCCTCAAATGAGATGAGGTACTTGGGCTCTCTGCATGGTAATTGCTGGGGCTTGGGAAGATGACCATTTCTCACCTGGAACAAGTTTCTTTCAATTGTTAGTTTGGGTGACTGAGTCAATTCCTTTACAAACAACTGTAGGTTTATGCGGTTAATCTTTGGGAAGTAAATACGTAAGAATTATTGGTCAGTAGACATAACCCCCATAGGTGGATTTTTGCCTTGTGTGTTTACTGCTGGATCCCAAGCTCCTAGAATACTCCCTACTACATATGCACTCATCACATATTTGTTAAATTAACTGGTGAGTAATGATACAGTATCATTACAAAAAGAAATCAGTCCCTTAATATAAACCCAAAGTTGGGGGAAATTTTTGTCAGGAAGGACAGCCCATTGCTTAGAAACATACACTCTCCGAATCTTATTTTTTTTTTTTAATTGATTAGAGAAGGGAGAGGGAGAGAGAGATAAAAACATCAGTGATGAGAGAGAATCATTGATCGGCTGCCTCTTGCACATCCCCTACTGGGGATCAAGCCTGCAACCCAGGCATGTGCCCTTGACTGGAATCGAACCTGGGACCCTTCAGTCCACAAGCCAAGGCTCTATCCCAGTGGTTCTCAACCTTCTGGCCCTTTAAATACAGTTCCTCATGTTGTGACCCAACCATAAAATTATTTTCGTTGCTACTTCATAACTGTAATGTTGCTACTGTTATGAATCGTAATGTAAATATCTCATATGCAGGATGGTCTTAGGCAACCCCTGTGAAAGGGTCCTTCGACCGCCAAAGGGGTCGCGACCCACAGGTTGAGAACCGCTGCTCTATCCCTGAGCCAAACCAGCTAGGGCTCTTGGAATCTTTTGTAATTGATTTTGTTAAAAGCAATTAGGGCAAGTCAATATGATATAAATGGGGTCACTTAATATAGGTAATTTACCAACTATAGACTATTAGATCCTTACAATTATTTTTTTGAACCTTTGACTTCTTACAGCTAATTTATTGTCATATAAATTGCTCCAATTTTTTTTTAATTATTACAATTCGAAAAAAATAATTTTCTGGGAATAAATGAAAATAAACAGAAAACAGTAGGAAAAAATATTACACATTCTCTGGAAGAAAAGGAGGGCAAAAATAATGCGTAAAACATTCTACAACACCCTCAGGAAGCACTGAAACACCAATAATTGAAAAGATAATAACTAAAGTATATTTATATTCCCTATCTTGGAAGGCTGGGGAGAGTTCTCCAAGGAGCAATCCTTTCACCCATGCAATTTTTGCTAGTGTGTTTTTTATTTTTTGTTTTTTGGGGTTTTTTTTTGCTTGAGACTGACCAGAACAGAGGAACGGGAGGTATTTCTTGCTTCTAATTGGCACCTTTAAAAAAATAACTTGACAGAGGCTGGATAATTCAGTATGCAATTAGCAACATTCACTTTTCAAATTTATAACTGATTTTTTTAAATTGGGAGGAGAGATTTCTGAAGTCAATTCAGTAACAATTGCAAAGCTAAGTAGCAGGTGTTTTTTTGTTGTTGTTGTTTAAACATCCGGGTTCCATGGCTATGACTCCTGGGGGAGCTGACCTCTCTCCCACCTTGCTTCCTGCCTGTCTTCCCTGCTCAGTTCTGCTCGGCTGCACTCAGCTCGGAACTGCCTGGGCAACACAGAGATCTCAGTAGTTGCTTTTGATTAAATGTGGTGAATTTAACTTTCTCCAAAAACTTTGCTAAGTAACTTGCAAAGGAAAACAACAAAGTTGCTTTTCAACCAGAGTGAGCAATGTGCAGACACTGGAGTTGGGCAAATTTGCATTTTCTTGGGGGTGTAAGTTAGGGAATGTTGATGTTTGTAATTTATTTAAACTCTTCCTGAACACAGAGGTCCCAAAGCATATGGATGTTTTCCCCCCGTTGACCAAACAGCCAGAGAAAAACATACGTTATTTTGACTGCTTAATTGGAGATATGCTTCCCTCAGCAAGCTCTTCTATTGTGGCATAAAGAGCATATTTGCATTCTATTCTGTCTATAAAATTCAGAATTTATTGTGATACCGGTTAGTAAACACCGTCTTAAAATATTTTGAGCTAGAAGTTTAGTGACTTAAAATACCCTGAGATATTTGGGAACTATTCATTTAAAAGCCAGGCAATCTGCTAGGCATTGGGGATATAAAGAGAAAAAAGGCATGCATGTAAGTGTTTTAGGCATTGAATGTGAGGAGCTGTGTAATGTGTATGGGTTAAGAGCAGGGACTCTGACACAGATTGCCTGGGTTTGAATCCCAGCTCTGCCACTTTCTAGCTTTAACGCATGCCACCAGCTTCCCATCTGTAAAATGCTTGTACTGTTGTTGTGTGGACTAAATGCCTTAACAAGTGATGTACTTGGTTGCCTTGCATAATAAGCACCTTCTTCTGATGTTTAATTTTTAAAGACAAACCTAGAAGCGCTGAAATAGAGTGCTCTTTGCTTGTGAGGCATCTCCCAGGTGCACCGGCAGGAACAGATGGCCGTCACAGTGATTCAGGGTCTGCTGTGCTGCCCAGACCACATTGGCCCCTGGCGTGTTGCTAGTAGTGCTGGTAAACTGGCTTTGGGGAGTGGGTGCCCTGACTTGTAGCACTTGCCGATGTAACTAGTAGAGATGTAAACACCCCCACCATGGCCGATTTTAACTTACCAGTGGCTTAACGACCCACTCACACAATTCCTGAATATTTACCAGTTGGTGCTCACAAGCTCCT